TTTCAATATTTTGTTGATATTTCTTTGAAGATTCATATGCTTTAAGGTCGAACAAGACAATCGTTTTACACTGTTGAAAAAAATCGATAAATAGAACCTTGCGGGTGGGTGTGGGTATATGACCTACGAGAATATCCACATCTACTTACACTCGCCCCGACACCCATCCCCATGAATCCAGCTTTCAATGAGCTGTAATTCTGTATATAATATTTTGTAATTTCATTTACAATTGAAGTTGCTAGGAGGTGGGACATAATGGTTATGTGACAATCTGTATATTAAGAAAAATACTATTTTAAAAACCCATTTGCTAGAAAACTATGACAAGAAACTTGATTTTAGTGGTAATTGTCTATTTTTAGTACAGTAACAATCGAGAAAAAAAATGAATGATTCATTTAAATATTCCAATCTACCGATCATGAGAAACAATATCTTGTCTCATTGAAATATTTTGTCGTTACACATAAGTCTATCACAGTCGTCAAACAATGCTTAGATGAGACATATATCATTGTCAAATAGATGCTAACCATTAACGCATCGAACAGTCTGCAAATATATCAAGCGAAAGTAAAAGCGACTGATATGTCATCAAGTTATCAATACTCATTATGACAAGAAAGCGAGTATGTACAGAAAAAGAAAAAACACCAAATTGTTGCTTTTCGTGTTCTCTATAGCAACATAAATTACATCGAATGGCCTTTTTTGGTAATTCCATATTCTCTCGCCAAAGCCAGAAAAAACAACAAGAGTAAGTCAACACATTGTTGACTTCGTGCGTTCGCTTCCTTCTTTCTATTCATTTCCACTGTCAGATTCTCGACAGAGATATTTCTTTCATACTACAATATGACGAAGACGTCATTGGTCTTTCTTCTCTTATTCTTCGAGCTTTTTATCAATGGTAATTTTCCTAGTAGATATTAATTTTAATTTTCTTCTATAATCAGATGTTGTCAATGTCGCCGCATCGGATGGCCAGAAGTTCACACTGCGTGGACGAGTGACTTTTCCCAAGGATACGCCACCACCTATCGAGCGTGGAGCTAAGCTCTATGTCGAAATGCAAGACACATCATTGCAAGATGTTTCAGCAACGACGGTCGCAAAGACAATGGTGTTGCGAGTGAAGAAATTTCCGGTGCCATTCACGTTGCGATACACAGCGAAGGATGTTGTCAATGCGACAAGACGTCGCAACTCCATGATAGGTCTTTCTGATTCAACAACAAGTGATACCTACTCAATCGACGCCAGGATCACGAGCAACGATGGAAAAACTCTACTGTTTGTAAATGATGTGATGATTCGCGTCAAACCACTGGGAAATGATCGTACGAAGACGATCGATGTGCCTGTCATAGCCGTTAAGAGTAAGAAAGTCTGTTGGATTCAGATTATTTTTTGTTGATGAGTAGTTATTAGAGCCATTATCCCTTTTCGAATGTGAGTATCTATGAAGAACTACATCATAGTGAACAGTACAAATTTCGGAGGATTCGACTTATGTGAAATTTAACAGATAGCTGGATCTCATTATGCTAATATCCTTAAAATTTCTCCAAACTTCCTTCTTTTATCAAAGTTGGTACATTGCTACAACAGCGACTATTTTCTCCAATAGATGCTATCAGAGCTATCAGGTAGTAAAAGTGCAGAAACCAATCATTGAGAAACTTCTGATATTAGTAACGAAGAGTTACGAGACGTTATGCTTCTATGATTAGTACGTCATTTCCTGATGATGTCGATTTTATGGCGTTGAATGAACTTTTGAAGTGATATTTATTTTTCATATCTAATTTTAGGATCCCCTTCGAGCACTACAGAGAAAAGCGAGACCGGTGGCTTCAAATTACAAAGGTTTCCCGAAGTCGTTGGCAAGAATGTTGACGAAGCAATCAAGATTATCAAGAAAAAGACAGGTTTCACGGATGTAATTGGCTTGAAAGAAGGGATGCCGGTGACTCTCGACTTGCGAAACAATCGTGTTCGTATTTTTTACAACGATAAACGGGTGGTCACGCAAGTTCCATTTGTCGGATGAACTCTGATCAAGTTTGCTGAATGATGTTCGAGAAGTTTCACTTTAATTTTATTGTAGCATATTAGTCGTTCATTTTATTGCTTTCTTACATTATATTAAATCCAGATTAATCAATTGAAATTTAGTATGTCTTAGCAAGTTCCGACCAAAAAAAAGGAAGGATCTATAAGCTTATGTTTGTTTAGGTAGTATTTTTTATCAATGCTTATGTGTCTTCGAATATAACGTGGTTCATAGGTGATATACAAACTATAAATATATTATATTGTTTAGTTTTGTTGAGTTATCTTCCAACCAAAAAGAAATAAAGGATTTTTTAGTTTATGTATTCCCTGTGGTAGAAGCATATCTGTCTTCTCTCAAAATTTAATACTCAAAAAATTAATATGTTGATTTACTTGTTCATAAAAATATTTTCGAACATCATGTTCTGATGTCGAGGCAGAAGAAATCATTGATACATTCACTACAATATGAATAAATAAAAATGAATACTGTGTCTATAAAAGAACAAGTATGTGCTAGGTTTTCTTAATGGAAAAAATGGGAATTCATTTTTAAATCAAAGAAAATTATTTCGTATTTTTGCGCCTAATTAAAAATAAATTCTATCTAAGTTTAAATTTGCCTAAAGATTTGCAATGTGGTTGTTGAACCACTAATCGGTAGCTAGTTGGAGCGAAGTTTTATCTTATCGCGTATGTGCAATATTTTATTGTTTCAAGAGACGAGTATTTATATATAAGACTGCGAAAGAGGAAAGAACTTACTAAAAGGTGACAGAGAGTAAAGAACTCATTAGAGAATATTCATGATCTATAGTAAACGAATGTACACGAACATACTAGAAAAGAGAATATATACGCATCCAAGCGTGACTGCAGAACGAAATAAGATATAGATGGAATGATATTGTCATCACAATGATAGAAAAATTAAAATTAAAATAAAAAGATAATGCACATATAATGCTATTACCTAAGAGTTCAATTTCGTCTAGGACATGTATATTTCTATTCGAAATGTTGCTAGTGCCTTTTGTATATTTTTATTTTCGATTTTAATTATTTATATATTATGATACGAGCGTGTTGGTTTATTATTAATTTGAGGGTGGATGAGTGAAGAATAAACACCCATAACCTGAAAATCACCGCACTTTGGACGGTTAAACGCGATTTTCATTCAACTGTTGACATCGCTGATATTATGGGAAATCACATGATAGGGTGTGAGTCTGGATTATAGTGTGAGTCGTTGCTACACTCCCGCTCATACCCCACCCAGACCCACACCCAAACCCACACATCAACAGCAAAAATTGAATAGAGTACATCGGGTCTTGTGAGTTTATTGAAAATTTCAATAAGTATTTCATCAGGCAAATCGAGTAGTTGAACAGTTGAACAATTCATGATTGATTTTGTTCTATAATTCTTCAGGATGTATTTAGAATATATAACCATATATGTTAAATCGTGTGCACGATTTCCTCTCTGCAGATTGACTGTTCATTGATTGAAAACGTTTTATTCCAATTAACGTTATTTTTGCACGAGGATTTACTGTTCATTGATTAATTCGAAGAAGATAAATGAATAAATAAGTAGTCATTTCGTCAATCAATGTTTTTTCGAAATAAAAATCGCATAAATGTTCCCAACGAAAAAAAATTCATGAAGATGAGAATGATTGACTAAATTTTCAATTGCAAATGAACAATGATCATCAAATTGGAGGCAAAAATAATCATTTATATGAATAAAATTTGTAAAAATGTATATAAATCGAGATTAAGAATCTTCTTATCATACGTTTTTTAAAAATGTCTGCTACATTTGCTGAATCTACACATAATCAGCGACAGTTATGTTACCTCGACTATCGATATTCTTTAAAACGTAAGAATAAAAATGGTTCTGAGTACTGGATATGTGTTAAATGTCAAGCAACAGCTACAAGTTATTCAGATTTATTAGTAACTGTACGTGATGAATATACACATTTACCTAATGAAACCGATAAAAAAAAAGACTTATATTTAATTCAGCAATAAAATAATTGAAATGAGCAATAATGAAATTCAGCAATAAATTTACTGAATCAGCAATAATTATATTGGATGAGGAATAATTATATTGAATGAGCAATAAATATACTGAATCAGCAATAATTTACTTAAATTAAAGGTAAATTTTATATAAAAAGGGGCACTATGGATTCATTTTGTTATGCTACATTCCAAAGATGTGCTATACGACAGAATTGTGTTATACTATACATTATATTTTCGGTCTCTTTCTTTCTCTACATATGTATCTACACCATTCATGCTCTTTCTCTTTTAACAGGTTAGCTCTATTGGTTTTTCTGAATCCGACCAAAGAAATCATTCTATCATCTCGAATATTGAATGGTTATTTGAATACAAATTTTGTAGATTAATATTTACTCTTTCAGACTATGCAATTAGAACTGTACAACAACCATTCAAAGCCGAAGGTTTTTAAACAAAAAACATCCGAGTCCATACATTCGGGTCTGATAGAGTCCAAGTACGAACTCCAACCTTTTTATTTAAAATCCTTCCACTTTGAATGTCTTTTGTACAGTTATAATCACATTGTATGAAAGTGGAAACATTGCTTCACAGAGGTGTATTCGAACAACAATTTTATATTCGAAAAAAATAGAATGGACCAAAATCCTCTGGTCGAGTTCAGAAAACCTGGCGCAGCTTCCTACTGTCAGATACATTCCCATATTGCTTTCTCTTCGATTGTTCATTTCTTTCTTTCAAGTGATCATTCAGATATATTCTATTCGTATCATATCTATTTCTGGTATATTCTGTCATCTCAGATACAGGTCTACATGTGTGTGATAACAGGGAGAATCTTATTTTTCTAAAATAGACATCATATACACAAAATCATATTACGGATTTAACATATTTATTTATAGAAATACGTAAGAAACAGAAGCAGACCACCCAGGCAAAAAAGGCTTTATTGACCCAATAATATACTATATTTTTGATTTCTTCTTTCTTTATTTTCGATTGTAACTAAAAATAATGCAATTTTTCTTTTATTTATTTCTAAAATATGAAATTATTACTGCTATTTAATGAATTAATTATTGTTCATTTAATAATATGAAACTGCTCAATAAAGGTTTTTGTATTGCTCACAGATTATTACTAAAACGTATGTTAATTATTGCTGATTCCAATATTTTTATTGCTCAAATAAATACTAGCCATAAAGAAATATTAGAAATACGACAGAATCTTAAACGCAAAGCTATTGAGGAATCTGTTCCAATTTATCGGATAGTCGAGGAAGCATTTCATGCAATTAATAATCAATTCCAATCCAATGATTTGCTTATATATGCTATCAATTTATACGATTAAAAATACTGTACAAAAACAACGTCACAAGACTTGTCCACCACTTCCTAGATCCATGGAGTAACTGCCGTTTTTATTGATCAGATGTTTATTGTAAAACTACACAAAGTGAAGTTTTGCAATAATTGTATGATGGACCGCGTGGTAGTGTTCGTTCACTTGTTTTTTCTGCTTATAATGATATGATTTTTGTTTATTCCAACAGGAAAATTAGTATAGTGATGGTACCTTTTATATCTGGTCATCTATTTTTTATCAAACACATTCCGTTCATGCTTACTATGATGACATTTCAACGCCATGTACTTTCGCATTACTCAGTGGTAAATCTAAACAAACTTATACTGATTTATTTACATTGATATTTAAAAAAATGTTCGAGTTCAACTTACCTGTTAGATTGAAAACGATTACAATTGGTTTTGAACAGGCTGTTAAAAATGTATTTAAAAAACATTATCCAATTGTTACTGTTCGTGGTTATTTATTTCATTATGAACGAAGTTTATATCGTAAATTTGTCGAGCTTGATTTAAAAACAGCATACAAAAATGATAAAAATCTTCGTGATTGACTTCGGTCTTTTGCAACATTATCTTTATTATCATTAAATCATATGTTATGGGGTTTACAATATTTAATTCATACTCAACCTGCATATTCATATATTCCAGATTTTCTTAACTATTATCATAATACTTACGGATCCTTTAATATATTTTCATCGCATATGTACAACTACTATCGTAATATATTACCACGTACCATTAACTATTTGGAACATTGTCACTCACGATCGAAAAAACATGTAAACGCTTCACATCCAAATATTTATGTTGCAATTGATTTACTTCGAAAGGAACAATCATTAGCATCCATTGCAAGATTAAGAGATTCTATGGGTGCTCCAACTTCAAAACATCGAAAAAACAAAGTTACAACAGATGAATGTTTAATAAAATTATGGCAACGTTATGATGAAGGTCGTCTTGATATTCCTTCCTTCTTAAAAGCTGCTGGATTTCGATATTTCCAATGTTCATTCAAAAGTGCAATATTCATTTATCTTTCTTGAGTTATTTATTTATTCATTGTTTTTTTTTTGTTATTTGTTTATATAATTCTTGGATTTTTTGTTGATAATATGTTGATAATTTCATTGGCTATTCTGTTGTTGATTTGTCTGCTTCGAATTAATCAACGGACAGTAAATTCTGTATACCAAAAAAATTATGTATTAAGAATCTATGTACAATAGAAAAGATAAAAAGAAATGATTATATACTATATCAATGATAGCCTGATAATACGACGACGAAGACGACGTCAAAAATGGAATCAAAAAGGTACAAGAGGAAAATAAAAGATCCATGTACCAAATACGATAACACGATGTATATCGATTGATACAAAAGTAAAAATATTGAAGATAGAACGAATCAGACAAATAAATAGCTAATGCATAAAAAAAAATTATTGATCTTCTAACAAAATTTCATTGGAACTTCATAACTTGAAAAATATTTTAAGGCATTTTATCTCTTCTATAATAAGACAAACTTTTATAATATGCGAGCCATTGTTTTTTTGAGAGGACAAATGTTGTATATATTTGGACAACAGACAAATGTGGTGCAACAATTAAAATCGTGTTAAATAAAGCTTTTTATGCTAAATATTTAGATTGAAATGCGTCAAGTCATTCTTCTGTCGATGTCAAAAAGAGATCATCAACAAATATGAATAATGAAGTTATGATTGTTTAGACAGAGCAATTATATTAAGCTTGCACACTGTTGTTTATTTATTGTATTTTTTATGTTTTCATATTAATAGGATATGAAAACTAAATTATTATTTATATGCAAATTTACTGTGTGATTTATTCCATTTAAATGATTCAGTAAAACGTACGAGAGTCATTAAATGTAAAAATCAAAGATCGTTGCATCTGATCACCATATGAATTTATTTCATGGCAAAAATTATATATTATGTGTCTAATGTCATGATCAACAGAATTAATTGATTTTCTCAAATAGTTTTGAGAAATATGTCGTAATCAATACGATAATTTTCTCCAAATCAAAATTGATTTTTCATTTTTTAGAAAATGAATTTTTTTGAAAATCAAACTGAATTTCTATAGTTTAGAAAATCAAGCATTTTTTGAATATTTAAAATTAGAAGAACGAATAATAAAAGTTTGAAAATGTTGTAACTTATGTGAAGTCCATTTTCTAGAAAATAGAATTTAAAAATAATTTACAGTATACTAATTTATTTGAAAAACAATAGCTGACAGTGAGGAATACTTTCAAACAAGGAATCATCGCCCAAGGAAATTTTTACCAAAGACAATTATGCATGAATAGTTATTTATGAACATGACAAATCGAGGACATTTCTCAGTACACATTTTTCAAAGGACAGTTAAGAGCCAATTCTTTCAATTATTCCGTTCAAAAATATTATATTTTTAGAGCATATGATATTTTAAAAAATCCAGAATTCGAAAGAAAATTCAGTAAATTCTAAAAAAATAAATGCCGATAGTCCTTTGCATAACAATCTTTGATACAAAAGAAGCGTATTGTTTTTATCAATAGATGTTTTGCTTATGTGATGCGCATTGTTTCTTTTGTTGTTGATTACAGTTTCAAATGGTTAGATAATGACAATAATGATCACTTCATCTGTCAAGAAAAATACGCATTGTATCAATCAAAAGCACAATGAGATACTTTGTTAGACAAGAAATGAGAAAGAAAAAAAAGCATGCGATGATACACCGCATCCTTTTCCATGTGCTTGGGATATTGATGATATCAAATGACAAAAAGATATTGATCGATTTTTTAATTTTAATCTTCACTTGATATATTCTGAACATCATTCCTCTTGATTTTATGACAAGAAACGCTGCGAACTAGCCTATGAGGACAGATAAGACTCAGAATTGCTTCCTTTTGAACAAGCCGCTTCTGAGACTGAAAAAAACAAGATTTTCAAAATATTATACTTTATGAATAACAAATGCCGTAAAAGAAAACAAGATCAGCAGCACTTTCATTGTAGTTACTAGAATTCTCATTGGACATCTTTCAACATTTCTGAATGAAGCCCAGTGTAAATCTGTCTAAAATTCCATAATCAACTAGAAGTATAGTTACTTTCTGGTTATGACCCGTTTCTAATCAGAGCATCATACAAAATCACATAGCTACAAAAGATGGGCACAACCTACGTAATGCCGAGAAAAAGAACACCAGATTGTGGATAATTACCTTCCACAAAATTTTCTTCCATCCTTAGAGAAAAAAAAACATGCCCATCACATAAACAGAAAGTTGACGAAGCCTCAAAGGTCATAAAAAATAGTTAAAATAACAATTAACATGACACAAACTTCGCTAAGCCTTTTACTGAAAGGATAATAATATGATAGAAATACAATGATCAGTAGTGAAGTTTCGAATTCCACTAATCTATCTATTTTTATTGAACATTTGTTCTTATTTTCATAGCATTAATATTTTAGAAGTAATTAATTATAATACATGAATAGCAAAAAAAACAATGAGCATTGTGTTGTAAGTCTTTCAGCATTCATCTATGTCATTGTTTATATCGATATTATTTGGAAGATATTTATTAATGTTCATCAAACTGCTGCTGAGATTCAAATATAATACAAGCATTCTGATAACTTGATTGAGCAATGTATTTATTAACGTTGATGTCGATTGCCAAGTCAGTGTCAAATAAAAGATGGAATGAATGCTGATGCAGTCTATCACGGATAAAAATAAGTTCTTTTTTCAACTGTTTCTGTTTTCCTTCTTCCTGTATTATCATATATAAATTTGAATGTCATTGTATACGTAACAGAGTCAATAGTATTGGTGTAGGCATATCATACTTTGTTTACGTGTTATTTTGTTTTTGTTTTGTATTTATTTCAAAATGACATATTCTGGTGATATTGAGAGAGCACAAAGAGTAATGCAAAGAAAAGAATATTCTATTTAATCTTTTTCAGTTGTGGAGTGCCAGTAAGCCTAAATGTATCATTTTTTGAAATCTGATTTTTTTCTGTAGTCGATAGACTTTATAAAAAATCACCCACTCTATTATCAATGATCGATGATGCAGCTCTGAATCGGAGCGGCAATGTCACTCAAAAATTTTCTTGTCTGACTGTTCAAACTCTGCATATGCGTACGGTACCAGCCCAATTATTATGATATATAATAATGCCACGCTCGATGAGTATGTTTCTAATATTATATGTATGGATATCATGAGAAATCGAGCGAGAGCATAGAGTGAGATTGCTGCTCCCGTTTGGAGCTTCATCATCATCAATTATTGGTAATAGAGTAGGCGACCATTTATAAAGCTTATTGGCTACAGAAAACAATCGAATTTCGAAAAATAACACATTTACGCATACTGATACTCCACACCCAAAAAGATTAAATAGAATATTCTTTTCTTTGCATTACTCTTTGTGCTCTCTCAATATCACCAGAATATGTCATTTTGAAATAAATACAAAAGAAAACAAAATAACACGTAAACAAAGTATTATATGCCTACACCAATACTATTGGTTCTGTTACGTATACAATGACATTCAAATTTACATATGATAATACAAGAAAAAGAGAAAACGAAGCAATTGAAAAAACAACTTAGTTTTGTTTATCAGAGAGTGTAGGTTGTATATAACATGTTGAAGATGTTGATGTGACCGCATCCTTCAATTGTACTTTTCGTACTAACCGATTTGCTTCAGGCTAGTACTAAACTAGACGAAATGATACAGAAAAACATGGAAGAATACGTCTAGAGTGTAAAATCTTTTGGTCACATAAAAGAGTATTCCAGCTTGGTTTTTTAATAAACATGATGCTCAGTAATTTATACATGAGACGTGGAAAATGCTAAACTGAAGCAGAATTTTTTTTTCATTTTTTTTTGTATATGGTTAGGTAGAGCGTAATGAGTTGATCAAGAATCCACATGTTTTCACTTTTTTTT